TAACCTAAGACTAAAACCAGACAAGGAAAGGAAAATAAGGCTAAATCAAACATTCTCGGGATATAAAATCTTAGTTATATACAATTATGATTCACACACTAAGTAACTACAATAATGATGTAAATTCGATCTATCATACAAGATATTCTCCTAGGCTATTAGGCATCATACATCAGGCAATTCTATCATGCACTTCCTGAAGATCCCAGGCCTACAACTAACATGCAGTTCTGTTATAATCATTATAAGCAAATAAATGTGTGGGTAACTTGGGGTATACTTTCTTGCTCCAGCTGATCATACACATCTCATCCTTTCTTAGTTAGTTTAAAAAAAATTGAAATTTTTTACAGATCCTTAGTTTGAGTCTAGATTCACATGAATGCTCATCCAATTCTCTCAAACCAGGGCTCTGATACCAACTTGTAACATCCCAAAAATCAAGGTAAAATTTTCATTTTTGAAACCAATCCTAAAACTATAAGTGCTTACAAAACATCGTTTCCAAAAGTCATCAATATGAATCAGAGTATTCCAAAATCAAAATCTCAAAAAAATTTGGGAGTTTACGCATGATTAAGCCTTCGTCTTGACCATGTCCTCTGAAGTACCTGAAACCATAACAATCAAACTGTAAGCCAAAGCTTAGTGATTTCACCCAAAGTACCACCACACACAAGCAAACAAAGAACAACATGCATATGTGAGCCTTCAGCCTGACTGGACCGCCTTGTAGAGCCTGCAGCCTATCAGGACCACTCTCATGGCCTTCGACCTAACTATACTACCTCGTAGGCCTTCAATCTATCTGGACCACCCAGAGTATCTTGGCCTTCAACACAAAGAAGGACTTCCTAAACCCAACAAAAGATAACATGTCGACATATATAATAACAATAAATAACCAACAAATATAATTATTATAAAGATCTACCAGTCTAACCTATGTCCAATGAATACAATTAATCATACAAATTTACCAGTCTATCATATAACTAGAATAACATCATCTAATACACCAGGATACATAATCCAGTGGGTCAACGTTGATGCATTCAACCTACAACTATAGTGACGAAAACTCACCTCACATTAGAAAATACAGTTGAATAGACCGTTGCTCCAAATGTTGTCTCAACTAGTCACCTATATGGTAAACAGTGACCTAATCTCAAACTACTATTCAAATTACCCAAAATACCCCTAAGTCAAACTTGGTTAAATTCCTAGTCAAAGATCAAACCCAAAAAGTCAAAAGGGTTAACAAAGACTGAGTACGCCTACGTAGCCAGTCACTACGCACGACATAGTGAGTCCCTTCCGTGGTTACGGGGATCCAGCTTGGTACGTACAACGTACCACTAGTTATGTCCAACGTACTTGAACAACTCCATTTTTTCATTAAGTGATATTCCATTAAGACATTACTTCTAGAGTTCAAATCTAGTCCTAACTATCATTTTAAGTCATAAAGTTTCCAACTTTATGACTTCCCATGGTTAGAAGGAGTCCAAAAACCAAAACCATATCTTAATACACAAACCCAAATATCATAACTCTTGCATGGAGGGAAGAAAGGGACCAAGTTCACATTTTTATGGTTCCTAAAAATCAAAAACATCTGAAAGGACAACTCCTTTGGTATGGAGTAAGCCATACTCATGAATACGAAGATTATGGGGCCAAAATGTACAAACACTTAAGAACTAGAAAGATCTAAAGAAGCATTCATCAATTTAATAACTTTATACCTTCGGGAGGTTGCTTAAAAGGTGAAAAACTCAGATCTACAAGGTTTGAAGCTTCCCGAATGCACTCCAAAGATCTTCCATCTTCAGGGATGGACATAAAAAGCACAAATGGCTCAAAAACTCACAATGAACACTACAGTTTGCAAGGGATCGTTTTGGGAGGATGGAGGATGGAGGTGGAAAGGGTTTTAAGGGTTGTGGTTGCTTAAGTATGGCTTCAACCTTCAATATTAGGGTTTTTCCTCTAGCCTCGTACGCCATGCATACTCCCATTATTCCACATTTTATTTTACTGAGCTACGCCATGCGTACGTTCCAAGTACACATGATGTAAGAACCATTTTGTAACACATTTATACATTGAGCCCAAAAGGAAAAGTACCTAATGCATGGGTGTTACAAGCTGGATGTTAAGACTACATTATGATATGGTGACCTTAAGGAAGATATTTACATGTGCCAACCACAAGGTTTCTTGGTGAATGGTAAGGAGAATCTAGTGTGTAAACTGAAGAAGACTTCATATGGACTGAAATAAAGCCCCAAGGCAGTGGTATTTAAAATTCAAAAACTTCATGCAGAAAAATGGGTATAAGAGATGTAATATGGACCATTGCTTTTATCTTAAGAAGTTTAGGTCGTCTTACATTATTCTTTTATTATATGTTGATGATATGTTGGTTACTGGATCATACATATAGGAAATCAAAAGACTAAAGCAACAATTCTCAAGAGAGTTCAAGATGAAGGACTTGGGAGCTGCTAAACAAATCCTCGGGGATGAGCATAGTCAATGATAGAGTTGCTGGAACTTTGAAGCTTTCACAACAAAAGTATGTCATAAAAGATTATAGAGAAGTTCAACATGATTGATGCAAAACCAAGATGCACACCTTTGGGGAGTCAAATAAAACTTTCCAAGAAATAGTCCCCAAAGACGGATGAAGACAAAGAAGAAAATGCCAAAATCTCATATGCATCAGTAGTTTGCAGCTTGATGTATGATATAGTGTGCACTAGACAGGACATTTCAGATGCAGTAGAAGTTGTGAGCAGATTTCTGTTAAAATCCAGGTAAAGAGCATTGGGAAGGGGTCAAGTGGCTGTTGTGTTACTTGAAAGGTACTTCTAATGTCACTATATGTTTCAACATAAATAAAGTGGTTTTCAAAGGATTGGTTGATGTTAATTTAGGGGGATGTGCGGATTTTGGAAAAAGCACTAATAGATATGTTTTCACTATTGGAGGTACAACAGTGAGTTGGATGTCCAAACATCATAAAAGTATTGCCCTCTTAACTACGGAGGCAAAATATATGGCCATTGTAGAAGCAAGCAAAGAGTTGATATGGTTGAAGATTTTTCTATCAGAACTGGGAATAAAACAAGAAGATGGTGTTCTCCAATGTGACAATTAGAGTGCAATACATCTCATGAAAAATTCGGTGTTTCATAGCCGAACGAAATACAAAAAGATGCGATATCATTTCATACGAGAACTGATAACTTATATTACATTAAATCTGCAGAAAATCCTTGGTATGAAGAATCCAACTGATATGTTTACTAAGGTGGTACCAACTAATAGGTTGAAGTTTTTGAATGGCTTCAATTGGGATTCCATGAACTTGAAGAGGAGTAAGGGACTAGAGAAAGAGACGAGTTTTATAGATAATACAAACTTGGTTGGCACCTAAATGATGATACATTCTCAAAGTGGGAGATTGTTAGATATGGCGACTTTGATGGGTTTTATATGTTAAAAATTTTTTTGATGGAAAAACATAAACCCTAAGTTCAGATGCACTCTAAAGGATCTATGTTCTCACTATGATTTTAAATTAACTATTGAATATCAAGAACCCTAGAAGTACATTACTATTTTATTAGTTTGGTTTTCCGAAATTATAATTTACTAAGTGAATGTGTGCGCCTTGCACGAGTTTTAATAATATTGTTATAATAATAAAAAAAAATATATTATTTAAAATTTTATATTATTGACATTAACCTTGACATAATAATTTTTACACTAAGTTTATATATAAAAACTCAACTACTTTGAATAATATTACTCAATAAGCTCTATATGTTGTTTACTCTAAAAAAATATCGATTTAATGTTATTTTTAACAATTCTTATGATCCGTTAATTTAAAATATTAAACAATTTTTTGGATATTATTTTAATTGAGTTGGCATTTCGATTCTGATTTATATTTAACACATTTTAACGTTTTAACTATTAAAAAAAATTTGATCAATTTTGAAGTTTATTTGAGATTTTGGTTTAGGTTTTATATCTAATACCATATTTAAATAATATATATATATATATATATATATATATATATATATATATATATATATATATATATATATATAAGTTATATTACTAATACCATCATTGAATATACTTCTCAAAGTGGGAGATTGTTAGATTGTTAGATATGGCGACTTTGATGGGTTTTATATGTTAAAAAAACTTTTTTTTTGATGGACAAACATA